CCCGGCCCCTCTCCCGCCCGTGGGGGCCCAGCAGCCCTCCTTCCAGCCAGCCCAGGAGGACCCCCGGGGCCCCGCCGCTCGGCACGGGCCAGGGCGCCAGATCTGGTCCAGGCGTGGCGGAGTGTGTCTGGCAGGGCTGACCCGAAGGCTCTCAGACCGGGCGCCAGAAGCTGGTGCCAGAGTTGGGAGGTCGAGGCCCCCCCGACGTGGCCCTGCCGCCACACCCCGCCTCCCCAGGGCCCCATCCGGGATGGAGGGTTGGGAGTCTCCGGGCTGTCGGGCGATCGCCTCTTCCTGAAGAGGAAGCCGGGCCGGGGTCCTCCGGGGTCCCGCCTTGGGAACCAGGGCCGTTTGCGGGCAGGTGGACCATGGAAGGGACTGCGGGGTTCCAGGGCCGGCCCTCGCCTTTCTTGGAAAGTTCACCGCCTGGCAGGTGGGCGCCCTGGCTGGGTGCCCAGGTGGAGTGTCACCAGGACGGGAAGGAAACGCAGTTTGGGTTCGGGACTTTCCGAGATCCAGGGAGGGCTGCTTTGGTCCCCGCTTGCTCAGAGTCAGAGGGAGCCTTTGACGACGTCTGGGTCCACTTGTTTCCAAAGCTGCCTCTTGGAGACCTGGCCAGGGAGACGAGGGGTTTCCCAAACGAATCCTGATGCGGTCCTAGGACAAGCCCCCCGTCCTTCCCCAACAGACAGGCCTGTGGCTGAGGACACGTCCTGGCCTCCGGGAGACCGTGTGCTCATCCTCCACGCCTCTGCTCTCCCGGCGGGAGGGAGGCCCCGGTCAAGCCAGCCGTGGGCCCCGCACCTAAATCTTGCGCCTGACCTGTCCCCCGGGCCGGTGCGGAAGCTGCGGGTAGCCCCGGGTGCCTGACACACAAGTGAAAGTGCGCAGTGAGTCTGATCTTGCCCCTGCTGTTCTCATCCCAGGAGCCTGCCCTTGGTCCGAGGTGACCGCACAGCCCCCACCCCCCGCCCAGCCTGGGCTGCGCCGCCCTGTCCTGCCTGCGCCTGTGGACGTCTCTGTGGCCCTGTAAGCCCCTGTCTCTGCTCTGGATGCCGCATGAACTATTAAATGTGCAATGAAGTACCTCTTCCCAGCTTGGGAGGCTTGGTCTGGAATCTTTTGTAGCTAAGGGTCATCTTCTTTTCGCTGTGGTAGAACACACACACACACGTGCCATTCTGACCACGTTCAAGTGCACACAGTTTGGTGGCGTGAGGCACATTCACACTGTTGTGAAGCCGTCGCCATCATTCTCTCCAGAAATTTCCATCTTCCCAAACTGAAATTCTGCACCCATTAGACACCAGCTCCCATGCCCTCGTCCCAGGCCCTGGCTGCTCCCCTCTGCTTTCTGCAACCCAGTATAGCCTCATGTCAACTTTATCCATGCGAAGGAGGGTCCCTCCTGCCTGTCCGTGGTGTCCTGGGGCGGCCAGGCAGACAGGGGCCCGGCATTCAGACTCCGGTCTCTGCCGATGCTCTGCCACAGTCCCAGGTGGCCATGTTCCTGGTGGCTGTCTAGCGGGCCCTGATGTGGAGCAGGCTGCTCTGGGAGGGGTCAGGGTGTGTCCAGGGTCAGGGTCCTGTCCCTGGACTGAGAGTAAGCTCCAGGGCACCTGCGGGCTCCCAGAACTCCTCACAGACCTGGTGCTGAGTAGGCCTGGAATACGCACTTGAATAAAGAAGCAAAAATGAATCAACTGAGGCTTGAAGGAGGGATGCTTTGGGTGATCCAGGCTCTGACCATCTCTAGGCCAAAAAAAAGGAACATGAAAAGGAACTTTAACTTAAGTTTCACACCTTATGCAAAGTAAACTCAAAATGAATCACAGATTTAAATGTAAGCATACAGCTATAAAGCTTTCGGGGGGAAAGAAAGGAGAAAATCTTTGAGACCTAGGGCTTGGTAGATTGTTCCTGGGGTAGACACCAGATGCACAGTCCATAAAAGGAAAGGTTGATAAGTGGGAATTCATCAGAATTAAAAACGTTTGGCCTGCAAGAGACCTTGTGGAGAAGATGAAAAGACAAACTGCAGGCTGGCAGAAAATATTTTTAAACCACAGAACCAGAAAGGACGAATGTCTGGAATATATAAAGAACTCTTGAGATGCAACAACAGACACACCCACAATCCAGTTGGAATGTGAAGAGGCACTTCCCCAAGAGAGGGCACATGGCCATGAGCACAGGGAAGGATGCTCGGGCCACTAGGGAAACACAAATTAAAGCCGCAATTTGACAACACCACACAGCTGTCCGAGTGGCTATTAAAAAAGTAGCAGCACTCAGTGCTGGCAAGGACATAGAGAAACAGGACTGCTCACACACCGCTAGCGGGAAAACCATGGTGCAGCCACTCTGGAAAACGGTCGTTTCGTTTAAAAACATAAAGCAGGTGTGGTGGTGTGTGCCTGTACTCCCAGCTCCTTGGGAGGTTGAAGGGGGAGGATGGCTTGAGCCCAGGAAGTCGAGGCCATAGTGCGCTATGATCTCACCATTGCACTCCAGCCGGGGTGACAGACAGACCATGACTCAAAACCAAGCCAAACCCCAAACGAAGCTAAGCAAGCCGCTGCCGTACGCCCCGCCGTCGCCGCCTTGGGCATTCCTCCCGGAGAATGGAGACGTGCTCACTCAAAGCCTGTCCACAGGTGTTCACGGCAGCCCGGTCGAGTAGCCCCAGCTGGAAGCGTCCCTGGGTCCTTCTGTGGCTGAGACAAACCGTGGCACGTCCTTACCCAGCACATTACTCAGCCGGGAAAGGGACCGAGCCGTGGGTGTGCCCTCAGCCGGGACGGAGGGGCCGCAGAATGAGGCCCGGTGGGAGAAGCCCCTCCCGGAAGGCCGCGTGCCGCCTGACGCCACTCACGCACGTTCCGAGACGCCAGCCTCGCCGGGATGGAGCCAGGGCTGGGGAGGAGGGGGGCGTGGCTGCACGGCGGCGCGAGGGACTGTGCGGACCTGAGGCCGTCCTGTGCCTTGGCTGCACAGACGCCGAGGCTCTGGCTGCGACTCTGCGGGGGTTTGGCGAGCTGATGCCGTCGGGGAGACCGTTGAGGGCCGCCCGTCCCTCTGTGTCTTAAGTAAACAGGAAAAGGAGGCAGGGGGCTTAGCTGCCTCATCCTCTCACTCCGCTCCACGGACCTCAGTCCCGCTCAGCCACTGGGAGTCACCTGGGCCGACCGGTGGCTTTCGGCAGGCCATCGCACCTGCGTCACTACCGCCACCGAGAGGCAGACGCTCGGTCCCCCTGGTGCTCCGCGTGTCCCTTGGCAGCCAGTCCCCGCCTCCTGCCTGGGCCACTGCTGGCTGGTGTGGAACGTTCGAGAACTTCGTGTTGATGGAATCCTGCCCGGCAGCCAGCCCCCTTGCGTGTCTGGCTTCCTTCGTGTCGACTTTTTCCCCGTTTTGCTGTTAATTGGCGAGTGAGTGGCAGTTGGGAGTGGCCCAGCGTGTCTCCCAGAGAGAGATTTCCTGAAGATGAAATTCTGGCCCAAGGCCTGGGGGGGACAGACCCTCCATTGGGTCCGGAAGCCAGCCGTGGCCGTGGGCTCCCCGTACTCTTCTGGGTTCCGTGGCTTTGCCTGGAACTGCCTCCCTATCTGTTTAAGGGCGAACCACCCACGAGGCCGTGTGATGAGATGAGATTGTCACTGGCAGGAGACGTCTCAGCCAGGCCCCACCCTCTCACGGGGATGAGCTGGCCCTCCGTGACTGACCATGCCCGGGCTCTCCAGACCCTGGACAGTCCCAGCCTCACCTCCCCTGCTGGGTGGCTGAATCAGCCAGGCCGCGGTGACTCACTTTGAGGTCAGGCGGCTTCCTCCTAAGCCCTGGCTTCGGAGCTGGGGAGACAGGCCGGCCCCTGCATGGGGTCTGGGGCTCGGGTGATTTCACGTCTCGAGCTGGGAGGCCGGCAGGTCCTCGGCAGGGGGGTCTCGGGATCCCGGGCCCTGCGGCTCCCAGCCTTTTGTGGAGGCTGCCGCCAGGCCCGAGGACACTGGGCTTGGAGCTCCAGGTCCAGACGGTGCTGGGTCAGCCCTAGCCCCGTCAGAGTCCGGCTCGTCGCCTTCCAGGAAGCCCTTCCTGATGCCACCAGTCTCGCTGACCTCTCGCTCCCCCCGGAACTGGTCTTGTCTCCTGGAATGTGACCAAATACGGAGGCTGCTGACTGACTTTCCCGCCCAGCTCCACCTCTGGTGGGTCGAAGGAGTTCCCTTCTTTGAGGGTTCATCTAGTCTGTCCTAACTTGTTACCCAAGGCCAGAGAGTCTCTCAATCTGGGCCTGTCCAGGCCGTGCTTGTGGGCCGCCGAGGCCCTTAGAACCTTTTCTTGGGAACTGTTTAACAAAGTCAGATCTCGCACACAAGCAGTACGCTTTTAAAACCACGTGTAGGGCTTTTATCTGACCAGGCCCGCGGTCATCAGGTGTGGGTCCGCTGATCCCAGTGGGTGGAGGGAGGCTCCACCGGAAGACAGAGCCCTGGGCCATTCCTCCCGAGACTTCCCTGACGATTCGACTGCTCCCTCACCAACCTCCTCGGCCAAGGGTGCTTTTCATGTTTGCAGCTGGAGACACGGGACTGGTGTGTTTCAGGGACGCACTTGACAGCGAGTCTGGGCATCCTGGCCTGTCCCGCCACATCCCTGCCAGGGCCAGCATACGTGTGCCCGGAGGCGCACAGACCTCGCAGTCCACCGAATGCGACGCAAACCCCAGTCCCACTTATGAC